ATATACACACTGCCCGGTACCTTACTTTTCTCCAACACTAAACCTTGGAGATCATTGCATACCCATTAGGAAGCTTTTGCAGACTTTGAAAGCACTTTTAAAATGTCATGAGTCTGTCTACTGGGGTAAAGGTAATCCTTAATTCATGAATTAAGCCTAAGGATTAACCTTGTTACATAATTGGAGTCAAGAAATAACAGTTCAATAAAAGATAGAGTGAGGAAGCTATTTCATTTGCTTAGCTTATTCTTTCGTTTATTTGGTTTTTATTTGAATTTGCAAACCTCCATCCTCGTCACAAATGCTAAACTTAAAGATATGTGCTATCATGATTTGTTTGCGGCAAGAGTTTTTCGATGCAGTTCAGACTGGTTTCAGAATCTCAGGCTAGCTCTAGCCTCCCAAGTGTTGGAATTACAGGCCCTTGTTGCTGTGCTTGGCTTGAATCATTTTGTTAATGCAAGGTAGAGATGGGAAGAAACAAACGGCCTAAAGTTCTGAGACCATTGACATAACTGTGGTCCCTTAACCCAGGGATGACGACATCCCTAAGAGCTTGTCTATTCAAGAAAACATCAGTAATTCCCTTGGAGACTTCCATTAGGAGACGGCAGTAGAAAGAGATGCCTCTGGATTTGAGGTGTGGAGGAGTGAAATTATGGTGTGGCCTCTACAAGCATTTTCATCTCCTTTCTTCAAATATAAAACCAGGAACTCAGTAAGAGTGAACTGTAACCCTCTTGCTCTAAACTTAGATCATTTATAATTCTCACATTCTTTCTGATTGTCATATTTAAAGTGCATTTGTAGAGACAGACTGGGACGGGGTACTTTCTCCAAGAAAATAAAAAGCCACACAAATACTTGATTAAAAATATGTTTGTTAGGCCAGGTGTGTTAGTACGTGCCGTTAGCCTCAGTACTCAAGAAGGCAGATTTCTGTGAGTTTGAGGTCAGCCTCATATACATAACAAGTTCCATGCCAGTCAAAGCTGCATAGTGAGATCCTGTCAGATAGATAGATAGATAGATAGATAGATAGATAGATAGATAGAAAATTCAAAACTCAGCTGCAGAAAATAATTCTTAAAGATTCTATTCCTCACAAAATTGAATAGGCAACTATTGACAGAAAAATAGATTTTTAAGAGTAGGATTAAATATCTTACATATTGATCTTTTGAAAAAAATTAAATGAACTTTTGTATTTTTGCCTTATATCAGGTAAGTAAAATTATTATAATAATATTAAAATATTAAATTTAAAATGCAATTATTGATAAATATATGTGTCTTAGTCAGTGTTCTATTGCTGTGAAGAGACACCATGACCATGGGCAACTCTTATAAAGGAAAACATTTAATTGGGGCTGCCTTATGTTTCAAAGGTTTAGGCCATTATCATTATGACAGGAAGCATGGCAATATGCAGGCAGATACTGTGCAGGAGAGGTAGCTGAGTTACATCTGAATCAGCAGGCAGCAGGAAGAGAGGGTGATCCACTGGGCTTGGCTTAAGCTTCTGAAACCTCAAAGCCCACCCCCAGTGATATACTTCAATAAGGCCACACCTACTCAAACAAGACCACATGTGGTGGGAGATCCAACTAGCCGCATCTGTGGCCCTGACGGATGTGGTCATAGATTTGGCTTTCCTCCTCTAAATCCAAGCATGTTCTTAAAATAAAATTCAGAGTTTCTGTCTTATGTCAAGAAACCAATTGCTTTAAGACAGAAGAAAACAAAATCTAGGGACTGTCATTTGTCTAAACTGGGTTCTCTCTATGAAGGCCTAATTTCCCTCATATCTATTTTCATCCTTATTGTTGCCTTTCTCAGTATGCATACCTATAAAAGTTGAAATATCTGTGTTCATAATAATGTTTAAGTTTTCCACAAGGAACCAAATCATTTCCTAACAGCAATCTTTGAGGTCTCCAGAAAGAGGATGAGACACCTCTTCATCGATTCCACTTGATCCTACTTGATGCCTTTGGACTGACAAACACCACCCTAAAACCGGTTTGGGACTTCATTGCTCTAGACTAGCTAGCTGAAACAGTGCACCTTATTACAGTCTGGCCAGAGCTTCAGATAAGGACTTCAGTCAAGCATCTCGGGCCACACAGAGACTAGCTACAAATGTTATAGCTTGTCCTCTCAAGACTTTTGTTACTCTAATTTTTTTTTTGCTACAGGATCCCATGGAGTCATTGTCGCCCCATTACAGCAGGAAGTAATTCTGAGAAAACAACAATGTTGACATTAAGGGATAATATACACCTGCATAGGGTTGGTTTTTAGTTGTTTAGGGTTGGGTACGGAAGGTGATGTTCAGACTCTCGGGTATCTCTTTTAGATAAGTTTAGGGTATGGATGGGAAAGGTATGGTTAGGATGGGATATAGGTAGATTAGCATATCTTCTTGTGAAATACCTTAGTAATTATTAGCTATAGACAACTTACATTGTTATAGATTCTTGTATGATGTAACTTAAGTAAAATTAAGTTTGTATTCCTTTCTCGGATAATTTGTATATTGTGTTTTGTCATACTGTGTAAGGTCTTCTTTCTGTTTACAATGTTTTGTGTACAAATATCTTTGTCATATTCTATGTATGTGTGCTTTTACATATGTTTAAGATATTTTGTATATTGATACAATTTGGGAAACTTTTATCATGTTGCACTATACATTTCTACCTCTGGTCAAGCTATTTCACTTCTACCTCTATTTTAGAGATTTACATATATACATACGTGTGTGCGCGCGCGCGCGCGCACGTGCCGCCTGTGTATATAGTTATATTGTTGAAATCGTGGTCTTTGCTAAATTATTTTGGGAAGTTTCATCCATTTGTATAGCTATGTTCTTGAGTATTACAGATTATCTTCACACATGTTTCTTATATACCTATGAAATTAGTCAGACATAGATGTTTGATCTTCCAACTCTTCATATACCTACAGAATATGGATTTTAATTTTAGTACTCTGTTGACATGAGACATAATTGCTCCTGACAGTACGAGCTATTCCCGAGAGTATGTTGGGCTCTCATGTCACTCCCTGCTTCGGCTAATGGCCTCTTGGGCAAAGAACTGCCCCCACCTTGACCATTGACTAGACATGCTGTCCTACTGTGCTTACAGGAGATAAATTAGAAGACTGCTGAACCTTGCCAAGCCTTTCTACCTCCCTGCCTCTGTGTTGGTCAGTCTGATACTCCAAGCCTTAGCCAAAGATAGTTGCCCCTATGCTGCTGTGAGATTTTGGATGACTGTCCAGGTAGTCTGCTGTTTCTGTCTTCGCTGAACCTTTGGAAGTTGCTCACTTGCACTTCCTGCCTACCCTAGTATTATTATCTTCCTTCTCAGGTCTTTGATGAGGTTGAAGATTAGACTGTCATAATTATTGTTCTCTCTTCCTAGATATAAATTTTATTTTTTAATTATTATTTTAATTTTAAATAGCTTGTTTCACATGTGAATCCCAGTTCCCTCTCCCTCCCCTCCTCCCGCACCTTCCCCCCCACCGTCCTGCCCCCAGCCTCCCACCCTATCGCCATTTCCTTCCACATAGGGGATATCTAGAGTCTGTCATTTCACTCAGGGCAGGGTCCAGGCACTCCCCTAAGAGTCCAGGCTGAGAGAGCATCCCTCTTTGTGTTATGGACACACGAAGTCCGTTTGTATTCTAGGGATAAACACTGATCCACTGCCCAGGGCCCCATAGGTTGCCCAGGCCTCCTCACTGACTCTCACATTCAGGGGGTCTGGATCAGTCCCATGCTGGCCCCCCCAGCTGTCGGTCTGGGGTCCAAGAGCTCTCCCCTGTTCAGATCAGCTGTCTCTGCTGGTTTTGCCAGCCCATTCTTTGCCAATTTGCTCATCACTCCTCTCTCTCTCTCTCTCTGTCACTGGGTTCCTTGGGTTCAGTTCAGTGTTTAACTGTGGGTGTTTGCCTCTGCTTCCATCAGTCACTGGATGAAGGCTCCAGGATGGTTATAGACATCAAGTTCATTATCAGGAATGGGCATTCGAGGTGGTCTCTCCACTATTGCTTAGCTTGCCAGTTGGTGTCATCCCTTTAGATCACTCGAGGTCACACTGGTGCCTGATCTGTCTTCTAACCTATGAGATACAAAGCTTCAACTTTCCGCTTAGGACAACTCTATTGTAATCTCTGCTAAGCCTCTACCCTAGGACTGGATACATGTCCTTGCTTTGTTGCTTCGTTGGCGATAGGTCTTAAGTGTGTTTGTTCTTACTTTTCCTTCTCCTAGTGACTACTTGATATTTGCTATTTTTGTATATAGTTTGTACCAAGTCTAAATCTTTTTTCTTTAGACTAAAAGGGGAATTGTAATGAGAGATCCAACTAGCCACATCTGTGGCCCTTACCATGCATGCCCCTATGGGCGTGGTCACAGGTGCGTGTTGAGCTTGTGGGATTTGGTTTGGGGTCCAGGTCAGGCTTGCTCTCTCTTGGTTTCAGTCGGGTCATGGAGAGCAGCTGGGCATTGATCCTAGGAGCTGGAACTTGTGGGTTATTAGTTTCTCATGTAAGTGACTTCTCCCCACATAAAATTAACCTATATTATCTAGTCTCATGCATCTTCATCTGTGCATCTACAGCTACATACCCTAATCCTTTCAAATAGTGTTACTCCCTATGAATCAATGGGACCATTTACATTTAAACTACCACAATATGTAATATATTTACAGTATTCTTATTGAATATTTTAAGTTTTATTTTAGGTTGTTCTAGACAGGTTTCTCTGTGTAGCCCTGACTGTCCCGGAACTCACACTGTAGATCAGCCTGGCCTTAAACTCAAAGATCTGCCTGCTTCAGCTCCCCAAGTGCAGGAATTAAAGGCATGTGCCACTACATTCAGCTTCATATTTAATTATTAAAGGTACTTAGTTTCCAAAATAGCAGCCAATAGTAAATGCAATTCATAGTAAAATGGATTTTTTTCCCTCTCTGTTTTAGTTAAGTTTGAAAATGATGCTAACAAATACTGGAACACATTTTACCAGACTCATAAGAATAAGTTTTTCAAGAATCGTAACTGGCTGTTGAGGGAATTTCCTGAAATTCTTCCAGTTGATCAAAACACTAAAGAGAAAGTGGAAGAATCATCCAGGGATCAAGTCAGAAGCAACTTCTCAAGAATGCAGGGAACAGAAGTCCATTGTCAAAAGAGCTGTGTCTCATCAGACCCTCCAAGCAAAGGAAGATCTAACTTTTCCAACCTGGACTTGGAAGAACACAGTAAAGGGCCTGGAAAGACAGAACGATTTCCTGGTAGCAGTGCCACTTTCCGAATACTGGAGGTAATGTATCCAAGCGACAAGACAGGAGGTGATGGAGTATGAAAGTGTACACCCCATACTATTTTATGAATGGTCCAGATTGCCCAGGAAGAAAGACCACACCTAATCAAACTCTCAGTGCATGCAGAAGCAGTACTCAGGGCAGACTCACATCTTTAATCAATCAAGTTTTAACTTTGTGGCTTTATTTTTGTTTGTGTTACATTTTCCCCTTTTAATTTGCTGTAATTTCTAACTTGGAGGCAGTTTTTAAATGCTGATAAACTTTTGGTTTTCATATTTGGTCTTTCTTTTCTACCCCTTTTGGGGTGAAACAAAAAGTAAGCCAGATGTTTAGTTTGCTGTAATCTAGTGTAGATAGTGGTTTTCCATCTTTCTGATGCTACAGGTAATAGCTGTTGATTCCAGAGAATCTGCAAGAGCACATAAGACAAATACAGTTAGTCACAATCCCAGGAACAAGTTATTTAACCCCTTTTTGCTTTGGTTTAGGTTGTATGTGAGCTTTAGACTTTGTGTTGTTCTATTTAACATCACGTCACAGACAGCTGTCCGCCCTTAATCATTCTCTGGGAACGTTTTCATGACTGCACTGTCTTCTGCAAGTGATATTAGCATGATTTTACCATGTCATACTACTGGCGTTAATTATTTCCTCAGGAAATGTCTTTGGGTGTAGACTTTACTTGCATTTCCTTTCCCATCTTGGGTTAGATTTTCTAGTGTATAATATTTGGAAACTTTTAGAACTCTTAAAACAGACTCCTAAACTGCTTTCTAAGGTGCTATACTAATACTAATAGGCACATGTGCCCACAGCCCAACACTCAGGAGACAGAAACAAGAATATCATACGTATTCAAGACCAGCCTTCTCTCTCTTGCTCACTCATATGAAGATTTGAACCAAAGGCCTTGAACATGATAGACAAGAGTTCTACAACCCAGCCCATTTTGTGACAGGGTCTCCGAAGTTGCTCAAGCTGACTTCAGACTGACTCACTCTGCAGCCCAGTCTTCTTGCCTCAGCCTCCTGGGCTTCCAAAATTACAGGTCTGCAGTTCCAGACCCCTTACCCTGCTTTGTTTATACCTTTTTCACCTCTCAGTATGTCTCGTGGTTCTTCAGATATGGAGAAGCCACATGTTATTTGCACTCTGTCCATTCCTTCCCTTCGCTTGTCTGTTTTATGAGTACTGCCCTGTATCATAGCTCCTGCAAATGCTTTATTGCACTGTGGTGTCTGCAATGCATTGTGCACCTATTCATTCAGAGGGCTTCGGTGGCTTTGTAAAGATTTACACAACCGAACTTTGATTGTTACTCCTGTGATTTGTTTCTTCTGGCCTTCCTTTGAGTTTCACAAGTTCTGCCATACCCAGAAATCTAGTAATCATTTATTTTTTAATAGAATATCCAATATTGAAAGTGAAATGTAATACATTCACATTTGTTTATTCTCAATTTTAGGTTGGCTGTGGTGCTGGAAATAGTGTTTTTCCAATCCTGAACACCTTGCAGTGAGTTTTAAGTGTTTTCCCCTACAAAATCTTATATATTTATAGGATGTTGAAAAATTCTGGAAATACCTTGTCGTGCCTATGCCAAGAGTTCTGGATTCCAATACAAACCATGACTAAAGCAAGTTTCAAAAGACACGTTCTTAGTGGCTAACATCTCATGAACTGGGGAGCATCCTGAAAAAGCATTCCACAGCCATGGGTCTGAAGTAGTTTTTAAACTTGTGTTTACGTAGAAGACAGAATGAGGAAAGAGCAAGGGATGCCATCCTTCCACCAAGCTGTGCTTTGCTTAGCGTCAGACATAGTATGCTCTTCCTGGGGACCAGATGGTACCTTACACAGAGAACTAGGTTTGGAGCACACACCTCACTCCTCATGGTAAGGTATCAGCGTCGCTTGAACACACACACACACACACACACACACACACACACACACACACACGCATGCACGCACGCATGCACACACACACACACACACACTCGCACCCTTTGCACAGCAGATTGTTGTGCCTCGACTCAGTCATCCTTAGTGGTAGCACCGAGCACAAGCAGGAAAGTAGAAACAGATGGAAGGTAGAACTAAGTGAGGACAACACAGACATCCTCCATACGCCCTCTTCGAGGTCACCAGCAGTCTTGCCTTGGTGTTTTAGTGTTTCTGTGATGACGCCACCCCTTACAAGACTCTCTATACATCTCTCCAGTTCTTTCCTCAAGTTCGCACAATACCTTTCACGTCATTTCCCCGCTAAAATCAACGTAAGCACTTTTCAGAGAACTTACGGAGGTGAGGCAGCCCCATCACTCTGACATAGCTGCTGTGCAATTTCCATTCTGCATGCATATTTTTTAACTTAACAGTATGATCTTTTTAACTTTCAATTACAACTATGTAAAAGCATTTGGGGAGGCAAAGAGCAGTACAATGAATTTCCATAAATCCACCACCTTGATTCAACAATTGTTAGCATAATGCCAAACATCATGCCACTTCCGGATTCAGGATGGCATCTCCAAAACATCGGGTTATTCATCGATGCTTTCGTACACCCAATGTAACTTCCAATGCTTCCCTAATGTTGTCTACCGGCAGCTGCTGGGCCGGGCATGGGAGGTGCTGTCGAATGGGGATAGTCATACTCTTGGTGTTTATTGTCTTGTCTCCCCTTTTCTAGCTTCCACGAGATTAAGTTTTCTAGCCTCCTGTATCACATGACCAGGTCCCTTCACCCTAGTGACTTCACACTGGCTCTATGCCTGTTCTCAAGCTATTACTAAGAATGGCGTTCTTAAATTTCTTGAGTCTCTATTTTGTATATCCCAGGTATGGTATAGCAAGAGCTCAGTAGGTATTGATTATTAATTCTGTATTAGTTACACTTTCACTTCTCTTTTCTCCTTCCTGCCTTCCTTTCTTTTTCTTTGTTTTTGTTTTTGTTTCATTGTCTTTTGAGACAGGGTCTCTCTGCATAGCCCTAGCTGTCTTGCTCTGTAGACAAGGTCTGCCTTTGCTGGCTTCACCTCTTTTTTGAGTCACTCCTAATGGAAAGTTCTGAGTCCCTCCCTGTTCTGCACCCCTTCCTGTCCTCTCTTCCCACCACCCCCCACCATTTTCCTTTTTTTTTTTCCTCATCCAACAAGATTTTGCTATAAACATCAGGCTGGCCTCAAACAAGATTCTTTTGTCTTCATCCTCCATTACTGGGATTACAGGTGTGCTTAATAATCTGGAGAAATAATTCATCTTTAAAAGCCAACAGTGGCCGGGCGTTGGTGGCACATGCCTTTAATCCCAGCACTCGGGAGGCAGAGGCAGGCGGATCTCTGTGAGTTTGCGGCCAGGCTGGACTGACAGCCTCCAAAACAGAGAAACCCTGTCTCGTAAAACCAAAAAAAAAAAAAAAAAAAAAAAAAAAGCCAACAGTGACCAGCCTTCCAAAGGGAGAATTAAGCACCCCACCCCTAGGATTAATGTGTTACACTTTGAGAATGTTTCACCATAATTAGACCATTGGAATGGAAGGGTCAGATCATTCTCCAAGGATCATTTCTTTCTTAAGCCTACTCCAAGACAGTCTCTGCTGGTGTGGTGTGGTTGTGACGTGCACGCCAGTTACTGGGAGAAGAGCCAAGGCAGTCAGCTGACTTTACAGAAAGGCTTGGAAGGTCAAGGGGTGGTCACAAGGCTGCAGCTTGGGATGCTGATGCAGTCAGAATTCCACCTCAGAGGTCAGGCTGTCACCTTGATAGGACACATGGCACGTGCTTTCCTTTAGCTGCGAGACCATTCTGTTCTGTCACTACTCAAAGGTAGATGGCAGGCCTTTCATATGTGCTAGCTAGACTAGAGTTCAGAAAGACATTCTGAATTATATAGACATTTTTAGAGACATCTGAGTTTTAAGTTACTGGGAGGCAGAAGCAGGCTTCCTTAAAAAAAAATAGAAACAACAGCTATAATAATGGTTGACATCTGTTGAGTGCTTCTTTTCTGAGCCATGAACCTTTTAGAAACCTTACCGTGTGAATCGATTCAGCCCTCACAGCTACCTTAAACAGTAGACTTACCTTTATTTAAAGATGGAGAAACAGAGTTACAGACAGATTAAGAAACTATCCCCAGATACATTACTTAGTAATGGTGGAGCCAGATGTTAGGTGTGGAGCAGCCTGGTTCCAGAGGCCTTTTCTCCTCAACCACAGCATTCTCTCTCTCTCTGTCTCTCTCTCTCTGTCTCTCTGTCTCTCTCTCTCTCTCTCTCTCTCTCTGTCTCTCTGTCTCTCTCTCTCTCTCTCTCTCTCTCTCTCTCTCTCTCTCTCTCTGTCTCTCTCTCTCTCTCTCTGTCTCTCTCTCTCTCTCTCTCTGTCTCTCTCTCTCTCTCTCTCTCTCTCTCTCTCTCTCTCTCTCTCTCTCTCTCTCTCCCCGGTGTCTCTCTCTCTCTCACACACACACACACACACGCATCTGAGTGCTAACTGAGATAAGTGAGCACATTTCATAGGCATACAGCACTCAGTAGCTCACAGGTCACGTGGTGCGTTTCATGAGAGACTACAAAGCATATGCTAGCGTAAAGCACTGAGATGTACTTACGTACTTCTTTCTTTTTTTGAGATGGACTCACTCACTCTGTGGCCCAGATGACCTTGAACATTGACTCTTCTTGCCTCAGCCTCCCGAGTGCTGGGAGTAGAGTCAGGCTTCCCACTTCCCAACAAAGCATTGTTTTTATGGGAGACAAATGAAAAACTAAACAAAACCAAGTGCTGTGATCTTTTACTTTAACTTAGTGCTGGTTAACTTTTCACAATCAAGTCCTACTTGTTATACTTCCATTAGTTGGACAGATGTTAAATTGAATGCAAATCCTAGTGTCACAGACTAGATTAATTATATGTGAATTATAGTATTTATCAGCACATAGCTTTTAAGAGTATAATCTAAGTCTGGGCTGCTAAATTCGTAGTTTTGCTTGTATTCCTTATTTACTTAGAAGTTCACCCTGCCTGAAATGTCTCTTGAACCAAATGAAGAGGCTTAGGCTGTGCTTCAGACCTCTCTGCATTCTGCCACGGGCCGGTTTGGGCTCTTTAGACCAGAGTACTTCTTATTCCTGGCATGTGATTCCCACCTTAAGCCCTTGTGCCATGCTGATTCTCAGTTAGCAATCCCAACCTGTCCCTGTAAAGCTTTCCAGACTTAGACACTTTGGAATGCTGGTCCTCTCGCCCCTGTAAAAGTTCTATGAAACCAGCCGTGTCCCCAAATAAACAATCCACAAAAGCCAGACCCATGCTTACACCTACAGTCACTGGGTAGTGACACACTCACCTGTTTTCAGCAATCCAGACCTTTTCTAAGCAGCATGATACAAAGATTGTTTGATACCAGCATACAGAGTTTGTAGTATCTGACTGTTCATGAACAACGCAGAGTCCAGCCATCATTTCTGGATTTCAATTAAAGGCCAAGTAGAATATGTTTAACTTTGGAGGCCAATTAAAATTAGTGAACATTGCTGTGTAAAAAAAATTCTGAAACTGATTTTCAGAAAAATTAAATTCATAAAGAAGAAGCAAACCCAGGATTCCTATATAGGCCTGCTTGGCTCCAAAACCCACAATCTCAGTAGTTGAAATAGGTAACTTCATTTCCTACTTCATATTCTCATGCTGGGTATATATTAGGTTCAATAAATGCTTGACAATAACTTGAAGAGATATCCAAGCATTTGTGTTTTAGAAATTGCATTTACTGCCATGATAAAATTATATGTATTTCTGCCCCGTCAGAACATCAGGGCACCTGTCTGGAAAGGTTCAAAAGTTAAGCAAGTTGCAAATAAAAGAAGACTGAAGGGCACAGGGTTCTGAGGGTCTTGGAGAAGGCAGAGCTGTGCATGCCGGGCAAGGTGGGAGTGTGGGCTTAGCTGGTTCCACATGCGTGCGAGTAAGACATGGGCGGGCGCTCCTTCAACACCGGACAGGAGTTTCAAAGTTGCCCCGCGGTGATAAGTGCTTGCCAAGCCTTTCCCAGTTTGAACATGTCTGCCTCTGGATTTAAATGCCTTTTCCATGTGCATAGGAACATTCCAGGATCCTTCCTTTACTGCTGTGATTTCGCCCCTGAAGCCGTGGATCTTGTAAAGGTATCCTTTGTAAGTCTTTAAAGAGAGGCATGGGCTGAGGAGATAAGATAGATGACCGTCAGGAGAGTGCTCACCATGCAAGCAGGAAGACCTGAGTGCAGATCCCTAGCACCCATGTTAAAAGCTGGCATGGGAGGTGAGCACCTGTCCTTCCAGCACTGAGAAGCCAGAGACAGGAAGATCCTGGGGCCTCTGGCCAGCCGACCTAGACGAATCACTGCCTCAGAACACAGGCAGAGGGCAACTGAAAAGGTCAGCAGGTTCTGACAGCTGACCTACACACACACACACACGTAGACACACATAAATTAAAAAGAAAGAGCCGGGTGATGGTGGCACACACCTTTAATCCCAGCACTTGGGAGGCAGAGGCAAGTAAATTTCTGTAACTTCAAAGCTATCATGGTCTACAGAGTGAGTTCCAAAACAGCCAGGGCTATATAGTGAGACCCTGTCTCAAAAAGCAAAACAAAACCCAAAAACTAAATAAATGAATAAATGCTTTGAAAGTTCTTACTTGAGAGTCCTGAAGAGAGTGACCTAGCAGTTAAAAACACTGATTGTTCTTCCAAAGAACCTGGATTTAATCCACAGCGCCCATGTGGGGCTCACAACTGTCTCTTACTCCAGTTCCAAGAGGTCAAACACCTGCTTCTCACTCAGTGAGCATCAGACAGGCACATGATGCATAGACATACATGCACAAAATGCCCATACACACAGAATAAATAAATTTAAAAGGTGTAATTTTGGGCTGGAGAGATTGCTCAGTGGTTAAGAGTACTTGTTGCTCTTCCAGAGGACCCAAGTTCAATCCCCAGCATCCACATGGTGTCTCACAGCCATCTGTAACTCTATTCTTATAGGATCTGATATCCTTTTCTGGCCTCTGTAGACACCAGGCACAGGCATGCATGCAGGCAGGCAAAACACTCATACACATAAAGATAAATTAAAAAAAATAAATCTAATTTTTTAAGGGTCTGTTTGCTTTTAATTCCTCTGTGTAGCTCTAGCTGTCTTGGAACTCACTTTGTAGATCAGGCGGGTCTCAAACTCACCGAGATCTGCCTGCCTCTGCCTTCCAAGTGCTGAGATTTAAAGGTGTGTGCCACCAACTGTCTGGCTTTGTTTTTGTTTTTTTAGGGCAGCTTGAAATAAGTTAGCAGAACACTGAACTAGAAATGAAGTGTGTTCAAGTTCACAGATGAAAGATGCTTGAGAGGAAAAAATGTTAATTTTCTATTACATTTATTCATTTTGTGGGAAGGGAATATACATGCCAGGGGGCTTATGTGGAGATGAGAGAATAATTTGGGGGAGTCAGGTCTCTCCTTCCACCGTGTGGGTGCGTGGGTCTCGAGAGCAAGCACCTTTACCAACCGGGCTATCTCACTGATCCAAGAAAGTTTTTTTTAAGTGACCTTTATTGAAAAGAAAGAAAGAAACAATAAGGAAAAAACCTCTGAAGGTCTGCTAACTCCTGTTTTTTATTCCTCCATCATGACAGTCACATGCGTCCTACAGTGAGGCCCAGTGTTCTGCCTTTATTCACGATGTGTGCGATGACGGCTTAGCCTACCCGTTTCCAGATGGGATCCTGGATGTCATTCTCCTCGTCTTTGTGCTCTCTTCTATTCACCCTGACAGGTAAATGAAGACGAAAGGGCAACGCTAATGTGTAAGGCTTCTTTATCAGTCGTGGTTTTTAGAACTATCAAAGCAAAAATGACAATCCCAGAATTTATTATTTAGTGAACTCCGCTTTGTTTAACATGCAGCCTTTTAAATGCAGTTTCTTCTTTCTTCATACTTTGAAGAGAGAAACTGGTCAAATGCTTCATTAGCGAGCTTTCTGTCACTGTCAGAATGAAGACAGCATATTCTGGCAAGACACATACCTATTAAAAGTGACAGCACTTCAAGGAAATTACAGATGCAGAGCAGCCTAATAGACTCCCAGGAGGGAGATTGTACTAGGTGATCAGAGACAAACATCTTTGATTTAGTGTCTTCTTGAGTGTTTGGGGAGAGGTGGGTTGCAGTCTGTGCGGTTTCACACAGGTCCAGGGAGCGGCTTTTGAACTTGTATTTTAAAGAAGCATACAGAGGAATCATGGTTATAGTGATTTGACAAAGTATGGTTCATTTTATGGGCATGTGCGTGCGTGCATGTGTGTGTGTGTGGTGTGCGTGTGTGTGTGTGTGTGTGTGTGTGTGTGTGTGTGTGTGTTACTGGAAATTAACCTTAGGATCTTATGCATGTCAGGCATGTGCTTTTCTACCGAGTATCCCTAACCTCTTAAGTATGACTTAAGTTCTTAGGTTTACATGAAGTTGGTTTTCATTTTTGATTTTTTAGAGTCTCACTGTATAGCCTGTGCTGACCTTGAACCCTATCCAGCCCAGGTTGACCTCAAATCCCCAGTGACCCTCCTGCCTCAACTTCCCCACTGCTGAGATAACAGGCACCCACAGGACTTGTGCTTTTGTGAGATTTCCCGTCCCTCCGCCCCCTGGAGAAGAGGGTACAGATCTGCATCAGAGATTCCTTTTGCTTGCTGGAGTAATCCCTTCCCACAGAAGCATGAGTCCTACATGCTAAGTTGCTGGGGCCTTTGCTGGCTTTTTAATTCCCATCCAAAGCTGAGCACTTTACTACCTTGATTCCCAAATTAATCAAAAAGGAAGTTGTATTTATACCTGGTGCATAGATTAGTTTCCATTAAGCCACTTTCCCCCTCCGTTTCCACGGTGCATTTCTTTCCGGATAGTATGTTCACCTGTTGGCACTGCTGCAGACTAGTGAAAACGTCGACTCTGCTTTGCTTCTGTATATGAATAGTTAAAAGGATGATGTAGGTGATAAAGAGAAGGAGTTCCTATTTGGTGCTCAAAACAGGAAATGCATAGATTCCAAAGAAGACTGCAGAAAGAATATTTGAGATTGGTTCTGATAATGTATTTTATCATGATTTGGCTTGAATATTAATAAGGGGAAACAGATACCATAGGATGATTACCTTTATAATAGAGTATTCACTCTGTGTATTACAAAATAAATTCAAATGTATCATGTCAGCACAACTTTTTTGCCTATATGGAAATGATCTAAAACTAAGGTGAATGGGCTGGGTGTAGCAGTGTACACCTGTGCCCCAGCTACTCGGGTGGTTAAGGCACTGGAGCCCGGGTGTTTGAGACCAACCCAGACAACACAGGGAAACCCCACCTTGAGACCTTTTAACTGAGTCAAAGTGAGGTAAACCAATAGAAGAGAGGCAATAAAAATAAAGAAATAGTGCTGCAGTGTCTTTAGGATCGTTTAGGACTATAATTGTGAATGTACATCCAAGAACATTCTAGAAAAGTAACTCATTGGGAGCAGAAACAAAGAAATGGCAAGTAATCCAGCTAGATCCTGAGCCTAAGGATAATCATAAATCATAAGAGGCTACAGGAGGAAACTAATTGTCTTTCTAGTTGTTGAAGTAAAAGAAAATGTAAGATGCATGCTATAAATAAAAGCAGAGTGAGGAGTCAGCAAACTGGTGAGTTTCTGTTGTTCGTTTGTCTGTTTTTATCTCTTTTTCCTTTCCTCTCACTCTGTCCAGGACCAGGTAGGGACAGTGATCAACTGAAGTGCTTGGCATCCCAGCACTTGGACGAGGCGGGTGGATCTCTGTGAGTTCTAGACCAGCCAAGGATAATGTCTTGTCTCAAGAGGGGTGTTGATGATTAATATCAGTTGTAAACTTGACAGAATCGAGGATCACCTGGGAGATGGGCCTGTGGAATTAAATCTTGAGTGCATTAATTGGCATGGGACGGCCCATCTTACTGTGGGTGGGGCCATGCCCTGGGCAAGAGATCCTGGACTGTACAAGATGGAGAAAGCAAGCTGAACACTGTGGTGCACTCATGGTTCCCAGCGTTCTGACTGGATGGGGTGCGACCGTCTGCTTCAAGCTCCTGACTCCTTGATGCCCCCACCATGGTAGTGTGGAATCTGAACTATGAGCCAAAGCAGACCCTTTCTCTCAAGTTGCTCCTATCAAAGTGTGTTATCACAGCAGCAGGGAACGTGGTGATGTTTTGTTTATGACCTAACACAAAAAGCTTTCCTGAAGATCAGAGTGCAAAGCTAGTCATACTAGTTAGCCATGGAGATCAGGGAGTGGTGGTACCCACCTTCAATCCCAGCAGCCACACTAGTTATCCATAGAAGCCAGGCAGTGGTAGCATGTACTTTTAATCCCAGCACTTGGGAGACAGAGGCAGATAGAGCTCTGTGAGTTCAAGGCCACCCTGGGCTACATGAAACTGATCCAGTCTAAAAGAGAAACAGAGCTCATACAAAAATGATCTCAGCACTTGGAGTGACACCTTTGATCCCAGCACTAAGGAGGTGGACACAGGAAGGGACATGGCTGGGTGGAGAGAGGAATATAAGATGGGAGGAGACAGGAGCTCAAGGAAGTCTGAGGGTTTGTAGAGACAGATGCAGTCTAGGCAGTCAGTCTGAGGATTCCTAGGGCAGGATCGCCCCTTTGGTCTGAAAATTCAGTAGAGGTAAGAACTAGTGGCTGCCTGTCTTGGTTCTCTGATCTCTCAGCTTTCCCGTTACCTGACTCTGGGATTTTTATTAGAATTCACGCTACTAGGGAAAGCAGCTAAGGCAGGGACCGTGTCCCAGTCTTGTGTTTCCTGTTTCATTCCTAGCTTGGTCATACATGGTTCCCAGGCAACCAAGAGGTGATGGAATGACGGGGAAGCCACTCCCACTCCTGTCCTCCGTACACACTCAGATGGTACGCGAGGGTTTACACAGTGGCTGCATAGTGAAGTGTTTCATTTCTTCTATATTTTATTTCATTCTTATTTTACTAATACATTCAGGTATTTTTCTCTGTACTTAATACATTTACCTTGAAATTGTATTTTTTAAGGTTTAGATTTTTAATTCATTGCCAGAGACCAATCAGCACAGCATTAAAATGACCTAAAATGAACAAAGAATATAATTTTTCCCTTCATGTACATATGCTTCCTTCTTTTTTTTTTTTTTTCTTGTGCTAGGAATGGAACTCGGGTCTCACACATGCTATAGGTCTGCATCCTTCCATGGAGCTTGGTAGCTTGGAAGGTGGCAACATGAATACCCAGCTTATATTCCAGTTTTTAAAAAGAGCTTTTCACTAAACATTCAATCTCTTTCTGTTGTATTTTCCCTCTGTTCAGACTTATTTTTATAGTAACTTTTATTTTCTCCCTGTCTACTTTCATTTCTATTTTTTAATTTTTGTTTTGTTTTGCTTTGGTTTGGTTTTTGTTTTTCGAGGCAGGGTTTCTCTTGTAGCCCTGGCTGTCCTGGAACTCAGTCTGAGTAGGCTGGCCTGGAACTTAGAGATCCACCTGCCTCTGGCTCTCAAGTGCTGAGATTAAAGGCGAGTGCTACCACCACCCGGCTGCTTTCTTTATATGTGGCAGAAGCTGGACCCTCCCCCACTATTCCACTAAATGTAGTTTAAGATTTTAAATTGTGTGAGTGTGCGTGTGTGTGTGTATAAGAGAGATGTGTGTGTGGTTCGGTGTGTTCCACAGCATGTATGTGAAGTCAGTTCTCTCTTGTCATACTTACATGGGTCCCAGGGATCCAACTCAAGTTGCCAGGCTTTTGTGGCAGATACTTTTACCTGCTGAACCATCTTGGCAGTCATGAATGTTGTTTTAAATGAAAGGAATTTATAAATTATCTGAGCTTACCTCATCTTTTCAGAATAAGAAAGCCTCGCACCTTTAATTGTCTTAAATAAAGCAGAGGCAGAGCTGGTGTGGTGGCTTACTTATGTAACACTAGCACTCAGGAGGCTGAGGCAGGAGGCTGAAGAAAGTTCGAGGCCAGCCTAATCTACATAATGAGTTCCTGACCACCTTGGGCTGTGGTGTAAGTCCCTGTCTTAGAAGCCAAAATCAAATAAACAAACAAAAAAGAGGCAACAAAGACTTGCAGGGTGAGCTGCCATTTCCCTCCCTTCCCACAACAGGCAATGGCAACAAGTTCTGTACCTCATTGTCATTCCCTATGGGCTCCGTGAGTCCTCTTCCCTGGAGCTCTGTGGGCAGCTAATGACTGTCACCCAGCATCCACAGATGACCTGAAGTCTTTCTGGCCCCAAAACATAGGCCATGGACACAGATTTATCTTAGGAATCGTATTTGATTGCATGCTTCAGATGCAGATGAGGAATGAACACGAATAAAACCAGAGCCTCCTGGTGTTGAGCTGGGAATTGGGAAGTGACTACAGTCAAAAAAAAAAAAACAAGAATAAGGAAAAAAGAGTTCTTTTTCTTTGAGAGGAAACCTTGTACACAAAGGCCTTCACAGGCCACAGAGGCCACTGTGCTGTTGCGTTTGGTTGGGAGAAAAGCTCTGGTTAGAAAGCAGTAGAAACACCATTGGAAGGATTAATCCTGAGAACCCTGTATAAAATAAAACTTTGCCCTCTGGATTAAAATCATGAAACCCTTTTTGGCAATTAGGTGATTTGCCAGGACAATTGTTTGAAGTCAGACAACTCATTGATAACATCCATGGAGAATTAACAGGAAGGATATGTAGTATATTAGGAAATTATTCTGTTTGTGGGCTTGATGGGGGATAATTGGCAGTCCCAAGGTACTGCCAGAGGGAAACAGGAAACAGCAAAGGGGAGAAGGAAGAAGAGGGAAAAATTGGAGAGCACATGGATAAGATAGTGAAAGAAAAAGAAAAATAGTCTCTCCATCTTGAGAAGGATGAGGGTGCCTTTCAACTAACAGACGAAGTCAGGGCTTGAGGAGATGGCTCCAAGGGTAAAGTGCCTGCTATGCACGACTCAGGACCCCAGTTCGAGTCCAGGAACCCAGGTGAAAAACCCAAACACGCATGGATGCTGCCTATAATCCTGGCATTCGAGAGGCAGAGGCAGAGACAGGACGCAGGAGCAAGGTAGCTAGTTAGCCAAGCGGAGCCTAGGTTTCATGAGAGATCCCGCATGATGTCAGCTGTGTGCTTACACATAGATGTGAACATGTACATACATGCACACGCGTGTGTGCCATACATATATGCACAAAAGGGAAGGAGGGAGGGAGGGAGGGAGGGAGGAAGGAAGGAAGGAAGGAAGGAAGGAAGGAAGGAAGGAAGGAAGGAAGGAGATGAACTAACATGGAGGAAAGATGACCTGTTTAACTGGTAAATTTGGAGTGGCTCTGACATATTGTTTTATTTTGCAGAAAATGAAGTAAGTGCCTTTACCTTTGTCTCCTACTGTATTTAATGGCTGAAACATAAGTGGAGAGGGGTGGTTGAGTTGTCTGCTTGGTTTGTTTGAGACAGAGTCTCACTGTATTGCCGAGGCTGGTCTGGAACCCATGATCCTCCTGCTGTAGCCAAGTCTGGGATTACAGGTTTGTGGTTACAGTTCAGCTATGACACGGGACGTCAGACTCTGGAGCTCCCGGCTGAGTTCAGTTTCTGAAAGACTTAGACTTCTGAATTTGGTTCCTTCAGATACAAAATGCTTTTGTGGGTTGTCTGTTTGTTTGGGGTTTTTTGTTTGTCGTTTTGGTCTGTTACATGTATGATTTCTTTGACTTATTGAAATCTTCTTACTTGGTCTTCAGGAAGGTTGACCCTAGCATATAAAACATTTCCACACAGGTTATCTTACTTTGTTTACCTAGGATGCAAGCTGTTGTCCACCGACTGTCCAGGCTGCTGAAGCCTGGAGGAATGCTATTATTTCGGGATCATGGAAGATATGATAATGCTCAGCTTCGATTTAAAAAAGGTAGTAGAGAGTTAAGTGGTTAAGTGCTCTTGAAGAACATGGGGATTTGGGGACCAGCACCCACCCCAGGCAGCTCACAACCACATGTAGATCCAGCTCCAGGGGAGCCAACGCCCTCTTCTGACATCTTCAGACACCCACACACATGAGTATATACCTACACACAGACACATATATACATAATTAAAAGTAAAGATAAACATTTTTAAAGGTAATAGTATATTGAATTCTAAGTTGTTCTAATGTGTTTTGGGGAATATAAAAATATTTCATGTCAGATTATTTTGATTTATCTTGTTTTTCAAGGAACTATCAAGTTCTTCCTTTTTATTATTTTTTTTAGGGCGTTGTTTATCTGAAAATTTTTATGTCCGAGGAGATGGTACCAGAGCCTATTTCTTTACAAAAGGTATGCTGATGTATTACCCAAGGTAAATGATGAGCTATGGAAACTCTCCTCAAGTAACCATTCTCAGGGAGACAGACATTGGAAGCACAAGGCCTCAGCAGTGATTAGACACCCGATGTCTTCATGCCCTGGTGCTTGTAACAGTTCCACATAAAAGCGTGTAAATAGCCTTTGCCTTTTAATCTTCTTCCAGTAAAATTACTTTTCAAGAATCACTTGTTTCACTCTTACACTAGAGTAAAGGTGCAGGCTGTAATTTTAGAGATATTGTTAGCCTGGATATGGAAAAAAATTGATAATATGCCACAGCCACAGGAAAGAATTTTATTTTTAATCTAAAGAAAATTAGTTCTCACTAGTGAATTTCTTGTCTTAAACCAGTACTTTTGACAGCACCAAGTGAATCCTGCATCCAAGGGTTTCCCCAAACTTAATAGAGCCTTTTATAGTATGTAATCTTGGGTTGTAAAACAAAGGCTCATGAAGGAGGCACATTTCAAAATATTGAAAGCTCTAGCCATAGCTCGTCTCACTCTAATCTGCCCTGACCCTGCTGGCCCTGTCAGTGTGTTTAAACTTGCAGTGGATGGGGAAGATAAAAGAGCGCCTCTTGGTTTTGTGGGTTTCCTTCACCTAGCTGTATAGTGCTTCTCGGTATAAATGGAACTTGGGTGAACAATCCTCCGTGATGACATGGGTCCTTAACCTCCCCTCTCCCTTGTCACGTGTTGTATCTTTGACTGCCATGTTTGTCTTAAAGGGGAAATCCACCATATGTTCTGTGAGGCTGGATTACATGAAAAGCAAAATCTGGTTGATCATCGCTTGCAAGTTAACAGGAAAAAACAAGTGGCAATGCACCGAGTGTGGGTTCAAGGAAAATTCCAGAAACCGTTGCACTGGACTCAAAGGAGGTGAAATTAGCAATCTCCTTTCTCACAACTGAGCTATGTATCATGCTAAGGTGTGAAACCGGGGTGTGATGTTGTTCAAAGTCTTCTCCAATGACAGCAGGAAGATGAGCGTCTGTGGCCCTGCTGCTGCACTGTCTGTGCTCTTCGGACATTTTCAGTGTATGAAAGGATTGTCCCACCCACCCTCTGTGCTTCCAGAACTTGAAGTACATGTTTGTTTGGTTTTGTTTCATCTAGCCATGTTCCCTTGAATTTTATGATTTTGAATTAAATTACTAATAGTTTTGAAAAATGTAACCTGTCCATTTTTTAGAAATGGGGAAAACTATCGATTTTATTACTGGGCATAGGAAGGCATTCCCAAACAGTGGAGCTGCTCTCTCTTGTCACACAGTGGCAGAGGCTCAGCATGCCTTGTTTTAGGGGAAGGTTTATTGGGTTTTTTTTTTTGTTTTTTGGGGGGGGGACTTATTTGTTTGTTTGTTTGGTTTGGTTTTCAAGACAGGGTTTCTCTGTGTAGCCCTGGCTGTCCTGGAACTTGCTCTGTAGACTAGGCTAGCCTTGAACTCACTGAGATCCTCCTGCCTGTGCCTCTTCAGTGCTAGGATTAAAAGTGTACACCACCAGCTGAAGGTTTGTTTTTGTTTAATTTTAACCTATTTTCTCCATCCCCCTTTTTTAACCCCTCCCCCTTCTTAAGTCTAAAATACAATTTTAGTTTCTCTTCCTTTCCAGAAATGGGAACTATGGCCTTTGTTAACTCCCTTTCTGGCTATTCTTAGATGTACAGATCATTGCTAAGACACTGTCAGACTGTGGTGGTTGGTTTTCATGCAAACTTGACACAGGCGAGACTCTCCTGGGAAGTCTGCAGATTGTCAGCTGTCTGTGAGTTTGTCTTAATTGTGTTAATTGATGTAGGAAGACCTGCCTACTGTGGGCAGAACCATTCCCTGGGTTTTAGAGCTGAACTGAGTAAAAAGTGAGAAACTGAGCTGAGCCCTGGCGTGTCTCTGTTCATTCTCTCTCTGCTCTGTAACGTGGTGAACTGTAATCTGGATTTGTGAGCTAAAATAAACCTACTCTCCCCTAAGTTACTTTTGTTGGAATGTGTGAGTGTGTGTATGAGTTTGAGTGTGTGTGTATATGGGTTTTGCCTAAATGTATGTCTGTGCTCCATACTGTGTGTGCCTACTGCCTGAGAGGCCATCAGTATCTCTGCTAGAAGAGGGCATCTGACGTGGAATAATCTTTTTATACACTGTGAAGATGTATCATTCCGATTGGTTTAATAAAAAGCTGAATGGTCAATAACTAGTCAGGATTTTTCAGGCACACAGAACACTGGGAATTGGAAGGGGGAGCTGCCAGCCAGGTGTAGAGGAAGCAAGATGGGGAGTACAGATTAAAGGTAAACAAGCCACATGAAAGAATGTAGATTAAAAGGTAAGGGTTAATTTAAATTGTAACAACTAGTTAGGAACAATCCTAAGCTAAGGCCGAGCTTTCATAATTAATAAGTCTCCATGTCATGGTTTGGGATCTGGGTAGCCGCTCTTCTGCACCTAGACTTATAGGTGGTTGTGAGCCTGTTGCACGACAGACTTCTCCTGGGAGGAGAAAACACACACTTGTCTACTCACCACAGATAGGGAGTCCATGACAGAACAAGTACAGATACCACCAAAGTTCAACTTAGTGAACTAATGAGTTTCATTGAGTTTACTTACCGTAATATGGGCAAGAGGTTTCTTACAGGAGTAGAAATGACCCAAGGACAGCTGTTCACCGAAGCCCAATCAGCATGGGTGACAGCTCACAAAGCTGGGGACCTGGCACACACGGCACAGCCTGCAGGCCGCTCAACTGGTTATAGAGTGTCCTTTCCAGATGCCTAAGTTGGCCTAAACCTCTTCCAGGCAGCTCCACTGGCTTTGGCTTGCCTTTACTATTTACTCTTGAGAGGGAGGGCCTAGTGAATCTAGTCAGTATTAGGGACTTCCTGAAGTTGATTTGAGTTGTCTACTCTTTGTCTTAACTCTGGGGTATGGAATGTTTCAATTTGGAAGAAGCTACTACATGTCATAGCTGTCATGTGGGCATTGGGAATCTTCTGGAAGAGCAGGCAGTGATCTTAAACCCTGAGCCATCTCTCTAGGTCCACTGTCGGGGTATTTCATCATGGAAACTAAGGCATATATTCAAGAAAATTTTCCTAACAACTAGAAATGTATTTGTTCCCTTGCTTCAGAAAGAAAATATGTTGGCTTGCTATTTGCCCTTTGTAAAAAGCAAGAGTTCCTAAAACAAGTCCCTTGTTATGCAATGTTTACTGAATGTTTCTGTTATGTGTTGTCAAATGTTGGAGTCACAACTTGTGTCCCAACTCAGGTCTGTTTATCCATCTTCAATAAGCCAATTCAAAGAGCCAAAGTAACCAGGTGGTGATGGTACACGCCTTTAATCTCACCACTTGGGAGGCAGAGGCAGGTAGATCTTTGTGAGTTTGAGGTCATCCTGGTCTACAGAGTGAGTTCCGGGACATCCAGGGCTACACAGAGAAACCCTGCCTCGAAAAATAAGTAAAACAAACAAAAAGAGCCAAAGTAAAGTAGAAAGCAGAAAAAGGAGACTAACTCAATGTGGACACATTGAGAAGAAGGACAGATAGATCCAGGGGACCTCCCCAAGTACAGATTTTGAGGTTCTAAAGTAAGATCAAAGTTTAAATAGAGGGTTGAGTGATGGGGGTGTCCTGTGTATATGTCAATAAAGCACTGTTGGCCAATAGGGAACCAAGATAAGTGGGACTAGGAATCCAGGAGGACTCTGGGTAGGAGAAACACAGGAGAAACACAGGAAGTCAAGATGTAACGCCATGGGGTAGGAAGCCCGGAAACCTCTCTGGTAAGAGAAATACTTAGATTAGCAATTATGGGTTAAATACTTAAGTCAGAGCTAGCCAGTAAGAAACAAGCAAGGCCAACAGCTTCATAATTAATATAGCCTTCTGTGTGTTTATTTGGGACTAATGCAGCTCTGGAACAGGCTGGCGGGAAGGCTTCCCTTTACAGTTGAGGATGTGCTATCAAAGAATTCAAGGGCTTGTCACTGATCTAAGCAATCAGCAGGTGTTAAACTTGCCTGGAACAAACAAATGCACAGTTCTGAAAGCAGTGGTCTGGAAAAATCCAGGTCCAAAAGTTTTTTTTTACTTATTTGTTTGCTTGTTTGAAACAATCTGACTTGTAGCCCAGGCTAGCCTCAACACAGAGTATGATCCTGCTGCCCTGGCCTCCATGGTACACAGATTTCCAGGTGTGAGACTTTTCAAATCACTTAGAAGTTGGTTTCCAAGAAGACTGTAATGAGTCCATTTGGGATTGTGGGTTTGTAACCCGATAGTGTTAGGATTCAGGCATTTTGCTAGCCTGCTTCCTGTCGCCTGGCTGGATGCACTGAGACAAAGGTCCTATGGCTGCTTCATCACTACTAGGTGCAAAAAGCCCTTTAAAGAGTCAAGCTCCGCCCATTCCCTCTTTCTCTTTCTGCTGCTCCTCTGAAGAGATGGGCAGGCCCTTGGTGCTTGCGCTCTCTCTCTCTCTCTCTCTCTCTCTCTCTCTCTCTCTCTCTCTCTCTCTCTCTCTCTCTCTCTCTCTCTTTCCCCCTCCCCCCTCTCCCTTTTCTTTCCCCATTCCTTTCCCTTCCCCCAATAAAACTTCCTATGTAAGCACTGTCTGCTTGGTGCTTTTATCCTCACGTGCTGAGGGGCTTCCTGCCAAGGTCTTCCACGCTCTGTATTATAGCAGATAGAAGTGAAGATATTCCAAAGATGCACTTGTGTCTGTCACTCTGACTATCAGACTGTTGGGACGGTGGACCCTATAGAAGTGGGACTTTGCCCGGCAACCTCATGCTGGGAGAAGAAAAGGGCATCAGCCGGAGGGGCGGGGCTTGTCTGTTCTAACAACTCACCACACCACCCTACAGAATAAAGCTGAAGCCCAGACAAGGGTGTGTCAGCAGTGGGTTGGCCCACACCTTGATGAGACTGCTTAGATGTGCCTGTCTTTGGCCCTCTATTTAAACTTCAGTCTTATTCTGGAAGATTTAGATCAACTTGGGGTTTCTTAGTGTCTGTGTCCCTCTTTCAATATGGCCATATCAAGTAAATCTTTTTCTGGCTTCTGCCTTTTTTTTTTTTTTCCTATTTTTTTGTTTTGCTTTGAGATAGGGTCATGAACTCTTTAGCTCTGGCTGACCTGGAACTTGCTTTTTGGACCAGGCTGACCTCAAACTCACAGAGATCCACCTGCCTCTACCTCCCTAGGGATGGGATTAAAGTTTGACTCTTTCAATTGAGTTATTGAGGATGGATGGCCAGACCTGACTTGGGGCACAAATTGTAGCCCTAAGTCTGATAACAGGTTGACCTCGTAGCACACTGTGGCAGAACAGCTAACTTGACGGTATCCCCAGAACACATGGAGTCATGCAAAGTGCTCAGTCATCATCATCGTCATACTGCACATGCAGGTGGCAGTCGTCACCCTTCTAAGGAGGGAGAAGCTGTCGGGAGAGTAGGGATCCGGGAGGAGGTGGGCCTGTTCTCAGAGTACTCAAATTAGGTCAGCCCAGGTAGGGCATTAATGAGGAATGGTGCTGAGAGCTGGAGCAAGCCAGCTTGTAAACAGACTAGAGCATGTGACTTTTAGTCTCCAGACTGGGCCATCAAGTTGGTTGGTTCGTTTCTGTTTCCTTCCAGCCATGGTGTTTTACAAACATAGTTAGACAGGTTTGTTGAAAGCTTGTCTACTGCATATAAAGTGATGTGAGGGTCAGTGATCAGTAGTGAGGAAAACCACAGGCTGATTCTGGATTAAATTTGCCTTTGGTGGCAAGTCCTCAGAAGTACAGCTATCAAGGTTTCTGTTTAAATATGCACACATCAGTAAATGGAAGAGTCAGAATTTGCCCCAAAGAGTGTTAACTCACTTGTATTTCATAATTAAAGTCTACATTTAAAAGCCAAAACAGCCATGAACGTATTACATACAACAGGGCAGTTTAGATAAGTTAATGTTGCTATGGGAACCCCAACAGATCTTCTCGTGTCTCCATTTAAAAACCATGGCCCAAGGTGGTTTTTTAAAAACAACAGAAGGTAGAATTATTCGCACATTCTCACACATGTAAATTGTACTGTCTCTCTCAGTTCTAAATAGCAGATTGAAGCCAGCCTCTTGACTGGCTCAGTAAAATTCAGCTTCATATCTTTCTATAATGTATTAC